GTGGCTACGCTGAATTCCAATTCCTCTACACCAACATCACCGACACTGGCGAGTATTTCTGCGTCGCCAAGACCGCAAACGGCTCTGCTCAATCCACCAGTTGCAATTTAACGTAAGTTCCACCTCCTATTGCTGTCTAATAAATGAGCTACTGTAAGTAGTACAATGAAACAAATATAAATATAAATATAATACCGGAGAACTTGGGCGGCATCACGGCTCTAAGGCGCTTCTAAGGCATAATCCAATTTTACTGCTCCTCAAAGGGCAGACGGCAAGTGGAGAGATTTTGGGCAATTGAAAGGAGCCCTTAAAACGAAAATCTGCATTGCATACGAAGAATTTATTTAGTAGCGCGCGGAAAAATAGACATGGTTCAGTGTCAAGAATAACTTTGGTTCTACGGTTTCCATCGGTTACCGCGTTAAAATGAGCGCCTTGGACTTTATTGTGCCAGCCGAGGCCCACTTAGCGTCATCTAACTTCCGTTTCACACGTTAAAGGTAATTGTGAGAAACTGGGTGGTGGCTGAAGACCAAATGCTCATTGACCTTCATGGACTGTGGGGCATCAGTTTTAATGAGGCCTGCCGTCGAAGGAGCGAAAGCTATGCTATTTACAAGAGTTTCCTTAGTGGACAGAAACGAAAGGGTAATTTAATACTTTGTGATGCTGATGGCCATCACTCAGCGACTGTTGCATCTGCATTAGTTAAACTGAATACCTCCAACACAAAAGAAACAGTTACGCAACTTCTGATCCTTCAACTGTATGTAGGGTTCTGTCGGAGGACAATGTGGTCACGGACTCACAGCTGCCAGATGAGTCGATGATCATGAATCTAGCGGCTATGGAGAACCAATTGGCTATGAACGGGACGTCTAGGCGTGAAGAAGAGGTGAAGTTTACATCGCCTCCTCAATTCCTCCGCCCACTGATCCCGCAAGTTGGCTTGAAGGAGAACGAACGTGCCAAGTTCGAGACGTTTGTGCAGCCCGCCAATGACCCTAGTCTCACTGTTGACTGGTTCAAAGATGGGGAGCCACTCAAGACAGGTATCCTCTTCTTTGCCTCGTGATTTTTGATGCCTTTTAAGTCGACGCTGTGGCAACGGCTTTTGCTAGCACTGCTAATGGAGGCTGAAAGGCGGGAAGCCTAGATGGCTTGCCATTAATGTCATTAATGAGTAAAGATTTGTTTACTAATTTGCCTTAAAGCAAAAGCTAAAAGTCCAAGAACAGGCAAAAGATGCACTTTACAGCAGTTGAATCAAGAGAGAGGGAGAGAGTCTGCATTTCTCAGGGCTAACTTGTTGCTCTTTGACTTCCTCT